ATGTCTAGTTTGTATAATAATTATGAAGTTTTATTTTTCCCCCTTTTTTTTTCTTTTTTTTTTTTTTTTCTTCCAGATTTTTGGATATATTATACTTGTAAATGATTTAAAGTTAGAATTAATGGCCAAAAAATTTTGTGGATCACAATCACTTTCTCATTCAATATAATCCAGTGGTTGTTTCTATGAAGTTGAGTAGTGGGAGTAATTAGTCTTTATAATCATAGTAATAGATAACAACAATATGAATTGGCCATAAAATCATCCATATAATTATTTTTTCAACTTCTATCATGTCCCGACGTCCTTAAACTCTCTACTTCTTGAGTTGACTTAATTTGATCAAATTCTGATATTCCGCCAGTCGATGATTGACACAACCTTCTAGATAAATAAGTGTTTTATTTAAAATATTATTACATATGTCTTCACGTATCAGAGTAAAGCATTAAGTAACTAATACTCCATGATCACCCGAGCCGATAATGTCTTTTCAATATGAAATTAACAATTTTATCACTTTTTAAAGGGTTATCTACTTTTTCCCACTCAAAGATTCTATGATATTTTCTCAATTTAAGATATTTAAGATATTATTTTATTATTTAAATTTATATTTTGATAACGAACATAAAGCAAACTCAGGTTAAGACTATTGAAACTTTTAAAAAAAAAATCGATGAGTCTTTTGATGATAAAATATTGGATTTGGTGGATAGAATTGATCAGAATTTGACTTAAAATAGGTAACTGTCTAAACCTTAATCGTTCAATTGTCAATGATTGATGGGATCGATAAAAGTAGGGTTTGAAAGGTTTTAGTGATTGATAATTAAAAAAGAGAATAATGCTGATGTGAGGTTCGGAATTGATAATAGAATATATACTTTGGATAATAAGTCAGGATGAAACAGTTGCACTAAACAATTATTTAGATGGAAAAAGTTGTTTACTCCTTTTTAAAAGAATCAAGTGTCCAAGAGTCTAAACACGGACGGCCGCTAAAGAAAAAATATACTATTTTATAATGAAATAGAGTATATTAAAATAATATACTATCTTAAAAATATCAATCATATTCATGAAATGTGAATCACCTGGTGACCTTGGTATTAAACAAGCATGCCGGTAAAGATGTCATCACGTGCTCTGCTCCGTTCGTCAACCTCTGAAAGTCAGAAAATAGTAAGATTTCTGTTAGAAAACATGAAACGCTACTGTTATTATAAATCCTCTTCACTTATTAAGTTAGCATTTTCAAATGAAACAAAATTAAACACGAGAACCAGAGGATTTTATATCATCTTCATGGTTCTATATTATTAGCTATGAATTACAATCCTATAACATTATAGGAGAACTGTATCATGATAATGGTCGACAATAAAATGGTAATATGTTTTTTTTTTCCAATAATACTATACTTATAAATAAATCTTACAAAGATTTTCATACAAAGTGAGATGGCAAAATATAAATGGAAGAGTGAAATAAAAAGTCAAACTCATTAAATTCACACTTCTATTCATTTTTTATCACATCATTTTGTATGAAGATCTTTGTAAATTTTTTTTATAAGTGTAGCATTACTCTCTTTTTTTAACCCCAAATGGTTGGTTTGATGGTCAAAGAGTGGCCTTTTGGGCTTACAAAATGTTCAATAAATCTTAGAAATTAATTGAAATATGTACAAATTGACTCAAATACCCTGGTTACAAAAAACAAAATGGTATTATGATTGTTATCTTTATAAAATAAGATCATTTCTATAAATACCTTATGTTTTTAGAAATTATCGGTTAATGTGTGGTGTTTTGTTGGGTACATCCTTGTTTTGTGGTGGTTAGGTGTTTGGAAAGGTGGTTGGCTAGTGGTGTTGGAGATAGGGCTGTCAGACGAGCCAAGCGGCTCGCTAGTCGGCTCGACTCGGCTCGTCTGAAGCTCATTTATGACTTGGCTCATGATTAACCAAGTCAACTCGGCTCGAGCTTGCTGTATAAAATAAGTCGAGTTCGAACATGGGGAGGCTCGGCTCATAGGCTCGCGAGCCTGATGTGGCTTTGCTAAGCAGGGTTCTATTCGTTATATTTTATAAATTGTGGGGATTGAAGTGTAATCTTTATTCTTTAGTTTTAAAAATTTGTAAAAATGACATTTAAGCCCCCAATGTAATTAGTTCTAAAACATAAAATTAAACCCCCAAATCAGATTTCCCAAATCAACAAACCCTAACCCCTAAATTTGTTCTTGCAAATTTTCATAATAAAAAATCAAAATCAAAATAAGGTTGTGTTGATGAAGAAGACGAAGACGAAGATGAAGAAGAAGAAGATGGAGATGGAAGCAGCGTAAATCATGATGTTTTGCAAGATGAAGATGAGATGGAGACGAAAATGAAGATGAAGATGAGATGAAGATAAAGATGAAGATGATGGAGATAAAGATGAAGATAAAGATAAAGATATGCAGATGATGCAGTCATGTAGATGATGAAGATGATGGCAATAAAGATGCAGATGATGAAGATGAAGTCGAGTCAGCTCAAACTCAACTCGAACTTGATCGAGCTCGAGTTTGAGTCCCTTTTTTCTAACTTGACAGGCTCGAGCTCGATCCTGTAGCAAACGAGCCGAGTTTGATAAGTCGAAAACTTGACTCGGCTTGGCTCCTTTACAGCCCTAGTTGGGGATGGGTGTGACCGATCGACCAACAACCATGTGGCCTCGACGTGACGCCTGATTTTATGACAATGACGTGTTGCATAGCCAAGCTATGACACAGTGATTTTGCCATTGCTTGGCTGTGAAAGTATAAAAAGAGGAGAGAAAATGATATTGATATAACACTGTAATTGGCAAAAAATGATTTTTAACAGGGATTAAAAGAAATGGTAATTTTGAATTAAATATTATAATTTAAATTTAAATATTCTAAAATTAAATTATTTAAAAACGAGTTTTACAAATAATACTAACTCTTAACATTTGTAACGTGGAGAACATATGTGTTCCGGCACACATTTGTAAGGGTAAGGACAATCGCACAACAATGAATAAGGTGGATTCAGACACAAAGGTTTGGGCCCAAAAAGAATCCGATAGGGTTGGACTAACTGATAAACAAAAAACAGCCCAACTCAGAGATATACACTAATTTAAGTTCGTGCTAGAAGTCTAGAACAAAGCAATAATTCTACCTGGTTACTAGTCTATAAAGTTTATTTTATTTTTTATTTTTATTACACTTTAAGAGTTAATAACAATAATCCTTTGAATTTTTTCAAATTATAGAAACCCTAAGCATTTATTTTTTAGGTGTTATAATTCTAACGGCTTATCATTGACAACATATGAATTTTGTATTTCAAAAACATCATAATTTTGTATTTCAGAAACATTACAGTTAGCGTTTGGTTTGGGAAATTTTTTATTACTGAAAATATAGGATTATCATTGAGATAGATTATCTTAAAGATTAATGAGAAATATTATATTAATAATTTTGGTTAGATTGGTGAGTATAAATAATTAATATATTTGGTTGGGAGGAATAAAATATTATCGGAGGGTTTTTTACTGAATTGCCTTTCCTTTTTAATAATAATGTTATATTATTATTATTAAGAGTATTGCTTTTAACTCCCTCCATTTGATAATTTAGCTAAAATAGCCCAACAACAAAAGTTTAAAATGTAACAAAATACTTCCAACCACTCAAGATGACTGTCGAATATGACCAGTCAGATTTGGCTGGTCATACACTATTCTCGCGACTATCAACGCAAGCCGGCGGTGGTGGTTGACGATCAATAGTCGTCTTGGGTGGTTGGGGTTATTTTGGGTATTATTCGTGTAAATAATGAGGGTATTTCTATCCAAAAAATTAATTTATGAGGTTACATAAGTGATTTTGCACATTTGGGTTATTTATTATTTAGAAAACATATGAGAGCATTTATATCCAAAATGTTTATTAATTAAGAGTAAAATCAGTATAAATAGTAGATTACTCGGTAATAAAAAAATAACACTCTTTCAAATGGTAATTAAATTACCCCTATATTATCTATAATAATCATTATTGGTATTGATCGATTATCAGAATCTTTTATTACTTAACACTCAAACATGATATTGTTAGATTAAAAGATATATTACCGGTGTTATTTTATGACCTGAACCACTTGTATATACAGGATCTATGTCTTTTAACTCACAATTTAATTCTAAACTATAATAATTTATCTAGTAATATTTCTTGAGCCCCAGCGCTCGAACTTGAGAATCTTGGATGGTTTCTCTTTAGGAAATAAAATTGTCTCAGTTGATTCCCTTCTTCCCACCCCCACCCCCCTCCAAAAAAAAAAAAAACTTCTAGGTCAACTATTGATTTATATATTTATCGAATAAGCCTTTTGATGGTGTTGGGGTTAATTATTAACTTTCTGCGTCCTCTAACTCCGCCCAGATAAAGCCCGAGTTGATGATTTTATTTGAAGGAAATTACAAGTTAGCTGTATCCTTTGTCTCAATGACCCTATATTTAGACAAATCATGTTAATACTATATACAACAAATAAGCGACACTTTATTTCATGGTCTTTCTTCATCTCAGAACAACCTCATTTGTTGCCAACTTCAGCACTTAGTTATTTTTGGAACTGCTGTATATATATATATATAGTCCACACATGTCACAAGATTTATACTTTCATAACTTAAATCGAGTATAATACGAGTATAACAGCTGATTATTTTAGCTCCGTGAGTCAACTTAAAAGTTGGCCTTTGCTTGTTCAGTGTAATATAATATAAATATATACACCGAATCTTAACGTAGAACTTTATTGATTGAGATGAACAAACACAATGCACACAATCAATTAAATTAAATACTTACGAAACTTATTACAAAACAATATTCGACCGCCCAAATATATATGGGCATAAGCAACTATTATTTGGTCTTGAATGTGAATTAGATTGGTAATCTTAGCAGTTTCAGTAATAACTTTGACGGTAAGAAGGACCTCCCTCGAGCCCCGGTTGAGGAGGAGGACCACCGGGAGCTCCATAATGGGAACCAACAACGCCAGTACCGCCTGTAGCTTCATGAATTCGCACATCATCCTCGACTGAAACTGTCACAACTTGATCTCCACTTGGACCTGTAGCGATTGTCTCATAAATTTCCTCATGTTCTTCAATACAAGCAGGAGCAGCTGCAGGAACCATCACTGGCTTTTTCTTCTTAGCTAAGCAGAAGAGACCAACCAAGAGAAATGCAATGAAGAAGACGCCACCAAGAGAGGCACACACAGCTATAACAGTGGTATGGTTGCCGCCTGGCGGTGGTGACACAATGTCTGATGACGGCGGAACTGCTCCAAAAGGTGGTGGTGGTGACCCGAAAATAGGCGGGGTATTGCCCTGATTTGGTGGTGGCGTGTAAAGTGAAGGTGGTGTATATGGAGATGGTACTTTTGGTGAAGGTGGTGTGTATGGAGATGGTTTTGGTGGAGGCGTGTAATAATGTGATGGTGGTGTCTTTGGAGATGAGTTTGGTGGAGCCGTGTGATTATGAGATGGTGGTGTGTTTGGAGATGATTTTGGTGGAGGATTGTAATTATGAGTTGGTGGTGTATTTGGAGATGAGTTTGGTGGAGGCGTGTAATTATGAGATGGTGGTGAGTTTGGAGACCATTTTGGTGGAGGCGTGTAATCGTGTGAAGGTGGTGTGTATGGAGATGGTTTTGGTGGAGGCGTGTAATCGTGTGACGGTGGTGTGTATGGAGATGGTTTTGGTGGAGGCGTGCAATCGTGTGACGGTGGTGTGTATGGAGATGGTTTTGGTGGAGGCGTGCAATCGTGTGACGGTGGTGTGTATGGAGATGGTTTTGGTGGAGGCGTGTAATCGTGTGACGGTGGTGTGTATGGAGATGGTTTTGGTGGAGGCGTGTAATCGTGTGACGGTGGTGTGTATGGAGATGGTTTTGGTGGAGGCGTGTAATCTTGTGAGGGTGGTGTATATGGAGGTGAATTTGGTGGAGGCGTGTAATCTTGTGATGGTGGTGTATATGGAGGTGAATTTGGTGGATGCGTGTAATGTGATGGTGGTGTATATGGAGGTGATTCTGGTGGAGTAAGTGGACCCTTCCCTGGAGGCGGTGGTGTGGAGTGTGGAGGTGGTGAAGTTGGATGATCATGGTGGTAAGGAGTTGGAGGTTGAGGTGATTTTGGGTGAGGGTAAGGGTGGCGTGGAGCAGGAGGAGGAGGAGGAGGTGGATGTGGATAGACATGATGATGTTGAGGTGGTGGTGAATTGGGATGTTTATGGTGATGATGATGGTGGTGGTGTTTTGGTGGAGGCGGTGCTGCCGTGACAGGGTTACATGGAGGAGAAGGGGGTGATGGTGGTGGGGGAGAATAGTATGGGTAAGCCATTTTCAGATATGTTGGAGCACTTGCACTGTGTAGCTAGTGATGGCATGAAATGGCTTTGAAGATGGGCTCTATTTGTAGTAGTTTTAGGTCAGTCTCAACTAATCTACTTTTATATTTAATGGACAATTTGCTAATTAAGTAATTTTTTACTGACTGATGAATAATCTAAAATCTATATTAATTTGTTCCTAATTGAGGTGCACATGATGTCAATATCATTTTACCACTTTATTAGGTTCGTGAATAACTAGCACCTCTACCCTAAATCCCTAATGTATATATTACACACGTGCTTAAAGACTTTCAAGTTTCCACAGCGCAAGCTCATGGAGGGTCTGAATCAATTATTATTAATTTATGCCCTCAATGAATATCTATATATCATCAAATTGCCTTAGAAATATAACGTATCAACTAGCAAGTTGCACAAAAAAAATGAACCAAATTGAAGAATTTTCAATTATGCATGAAACTTGAATTATTATAGTTTGCATATCTAAATTAGAGTGAGTGTGAACCCATGTGATGCAAATAATATTGAATAGGTTTCCAGAAGTGTTTAATCAATTATTGAAATTATAAATTTTAGGATTAGGTTTAGAACATGAGTTAAATAAGAGGAATGACAGAAATATTTGTCTACTAATGTCTGAAGGGTAATGCCTAAGAAATGTCGTTTCTTCCGCAGCCGCTATGTAATCATGCATGGTGGTAAAAGCTGATTTCATGTTAGGTTTCATTCTCAATTATCAAATATTTAGAATGAACACAAGTACTTTACAGAAGACAAGTATAGCTGTAAACAAATTCAATATTCGCTAACGAACAAAAAGTTGTTCAGATGATCATTTTTTTTATTTCTATTTATAATTAAATTTCTGTGTAATGTAAATATCTTACATATGATTTTACCCACAGTATTTGAGCAATTAATTAATAAATTATCCAATCTAATTTATTCAAATTTAATAAATTTTAATACATCTATATTAATAATGTTTGATCGAAATTCGAATTCATATGTTAATTGCTGTGCGTAACTGTCCTGCGGGCCCGATTCGTGCCAACTGTTCAAGAACCATGCCAAGATCGAGCAACTAGGATCACCCATGTGTCGTTTGGTTAGCGGATAGCTTAACCAATGAGCTTACCAATCCCTAAGTATGGTTGTTTTGACTTAAACATGGGCAATAACTGACTCAAATCTGGATCACGGGAGATTATATGTATAATCTACACCGTAATCTACCTGCCCTCACCTAGTGTCAAACGCTTGAGAAGCTACTTCAAAAAAAAAGCTATCTCAACTTGCTAAATCATCATCAGCGCACCTCTGTAACACTTCTCTTGTAGCCCTCAGTGGATATATGTTTGGTTCTAATTCATCAGAACACTTTAAAAAACTATCTTGCACTCTTATTACTCAATTTATTTTCATATATTTTTTGATTTCCGTTAATAACGGGCACATCTTATCCAGTCTCATTGTGGTCGATTGGATATCTTTAATTATTACAGATTTTTGTTACAACATTAATAATAATAAAAAAAAAAAATTAATTATCTAACCACTAATTTAACTAATTAGTTTTCCCTCTTCATAAAATATTCTAATTGCGTGTTAGATTATTAATCAAACTACGATTGGCCAATTGCGTGTCAAACATCAACTCAATAAGTTAAAACCCGAAGACTGAAGTAGTCAACTGATCATACATATATTATTTATATGATCGTAATGAGTTATGCATTTTATCAGTTTCCCAGTTAATCAGACAGCGAGGCACCGAAACTTGATACATGCAATGTTTATAATAATCTTAATTCAAATAATAAAAGCATATCAATTATCATATAAAACAGCAACATGGAGAGTATCTTGATTTTATCTGGTAAATAGTAATTAACAATCATGTGTACAATAAAAGCCGCCAAGTAATTGATGACCTCAAGCAGCAATTCATCATCTTACATATCAAGAAATTTTCAATTCTTGAGTTGAGACCCTAATTTACAGTACCATGTTTTATGTTTGATAATATAAAAGAAGAACATAACTTTATGTAGGCCATGTCCATGTCCAGGTCCAGCCAACAAACAAGTAGACCCATCTATTATTAATAAATAGAACTTAAGTAATACAACATTATGTAAAATGTAATAGCTTAAAGTTGGCCTCGCTAAGCTCTAGGCAATACAGAAAGACGTTAAACAAAATAAGATCAAAATCCTGAAAAAATTAAGAGAAAATGAAAGCAAATATTTTATTCATCTTCGGCCAGCTTGTCCAAGCAGATTATAAATGTAAGTGTATTGTTTCCTCTAGCGTTAAGAGCCATTGATTTTCCTGCAGTTGGTTCTGACTTCTTGAATGAATCCCGCAGGTGATTCCAGGTTTCCCATCTTTACCATTGCATTCGTGAAATCAGAGAAAAAAGCCTTTTGGTTAAGGCTGTAAGATTTCACTTGAGAATCCGTGGAGCCATTGTTGAAGAGTTCTTGGTCGGAGTGTAAAAGGCCCTTCAAGTTGACCAAATCTGTGAAATAAGCATTATCGAAAGAAGTAGTGGATTGATCAAGAGGAGTTAGATTATTATCTCCGCCTGCACTTGGGCAAACTCCCTGCTTCGAAGCTGCGTAGGTGGGGTCAATGTTAGTCTCGTTGTAGATACGGCTCCTAAAGGTAATGCACCTTGCTAGACCCACAGTATGAGCTCCTACAATAGATATTAATTAATGATTATTAACCATTAATTATACATTTCAAAAATAATTAATTATGAATAGACATTTTCTATACCTGAGAGAGTGACCATTTCTTGTTTGGTAAAACCCTTGTTTGAGAATATGGTTATAAGATCACTCAGATTTGAGGATGGAGGAGGGAGATTGGAATTAGCATCACTTAAACTCGCAGTAGTTGAATCCTTTCTGCCTAATGGTACAGTCCATGTCGGGCCTCCCAACTGATGAATTCATAACATTATTAGATAAAGACACAAAAATTAAAAGAATGATGAGTTGAAATAATAATCGATCCCATAACACAAATTTTTTTTTTTTATCATTGGAGGTTTCAGGCCAATTTGTGGCACTTTAACTAATTTTTGGGACACTGGAATTGTCAGTTGAATAAGAGTCCCAATGATCACTCATATTAGTATTTGAGAGAACTAGAACTCAAGAATTCGTAGAACTCTAACTCAATAGTTCATAGAACTCTTTTTGCTCTTTTATCATTAAGTCATTCAGTAGTGGTTATACAAATATTTTAAGTTAAAATATGTTTCTTTTCTTTTTCAAGAATTAACTACCAATTAAAGTAAGATTCATATAATAAAAGAAATGGATGTCTGATGTCTCGTAAATGAAAAAATTATGATATTTGCAATAGATTAAGGTTCTTACAGCCACAGTGGCATCGCGAGCCGCTAGGGTTAAGATGTCTGAACATGAGACAATTCCAGGGCAGATTTCTTCAAGTTTAGCTTTGATGTTATCGATCAACTCAAATCCTCTTAATGAATTTGCATTTCCAAATGCTGTTTTCTCTCCTGTGAAACTCTCCGTGTCATCCAACAATACGGAGCCATCACAACCCTGTTAATTTACACATATACAATAAGGATATCAGTAATTAAAACCACACATGCATGCATGCAAATATTTATGCTTGTAAAATCACAAACATATATACATATATGATATTAAGATCGAGGTAAGTTGCGTAAGAGGACTTGCATTGACAAAACAATCATGGAAATGAAGGCGAATCAATGAGGCCCCCATGCGGCTCTCGTTGGCCACTGCAGCTCTTACATAGTCTTTGATTGTAGGGATAGCTACAGGGCATGAAAGAGCATAATGGAGAGATGATAGCAGGCCTAGCAGCTGTGCAGAACCCGTACTCAGCACCAGCAGGAATATGAAAACTGAGAAGATCAAAGAAGCCATTTGTTATAAGAAAAACGAGGACACTGATATATTGAAGAAACTACTTCCTTGTACTGGCAAGTTGATTGGACCTGAAATTTATAGCCATTGAAGGAATATTTTTATTATAAAAAATAAAGTAGTTTACATATAAATATGCTAACACAGGCTGAATCCAACAGTTATAATTAGATTTCATAATTGATTAATTTGTCCACACTCCATAGAGCGTATAATACTCCATTGAACTAGGAGTTTAGAGGGATTCTTTACACTTAATTCATAGACTTTGAGTACATAGTATTTAAAAATCATTAATTAAGCAAATGGGCAGCTTAGTACGTGCTGGTTTAAAGTTGCAGTGCTAGGTGCACGAGTTTACTCTCTTTTTTATTCGGTGACTTTGATTAAAAAGAAAAATATGAGCTAGAATATAGAAACTGAAGCCACAAAAAGTCAGAAGTTTTGAGTATTTAGTTATGTTGCCCACGTTTGCGGATGCCTGTTACTTCTTCTATGAGATTAAACTATTATCTCAACCTAGATCAGATTTGTCATTTTTTATCTATTAATTCAGATGTTTATTTATTGAATCATAAGGAAGTTTAAATTTGTCACAGATATCCATAAGTCTATTGATTATTTCGTCATCTTTATTTCAATTAATAACTCTAAGGGGTCCGAGACGATGAACTGAACTAATTTCAAGTTAAGCCCATAATAAATGGATTAGCATAAATGAAAAGGCTGGCCGAATCACTTTACTTCAATTTGTATGTTTGCAGACTTGTGGTATGGGATTATCTATATACATTTTGCAAAACTTAAAAATGAGATATATTATTAAGAAAAGAAAACATCGAATTTAATCATAGGGAACAAGATCCCCTCAAAATAATACCAGAATTTTTATCTATTTATTTATTTTTTTAAGCAAAAAAATCCAAATTCTTTTCAAGATGATTATATTCATCTTCCTCCCAATTCTTGCACCTCCCAAGTCAGGTTTTCCCTCTTGGATTTTAGCTTCTCGTATTCTACATTTCTAATTTTATTACTGTTTAATTACCTTTGGATTGGATGAGTTAGACTGATCTTTTATAAATTATAATCGTGGATGCATGTACATAGAAAATATTAGGGTGTTTTCACTAACAGTTTACGGCTAATCTATCAAAAAGTTTGAAGCCCGAATATTGTATTTTGGGTCAGGTAGAACACAACAAGCAGACTGATTGCTGGCCCATCAGTGAAATAGACTGACATATGAAACAATGGTAAGTGATTTTTAGCTCTATTATTTTTGTCTTTCACCCATCTTCAAGTTTACGTGGAGATATAGTTGTAATAAAAATAATAATTCTTCTTCTTCTTCTTCCACCTTCAAGTTTATTCACCTGCAGTAATTCTTATTAATTTAAGTTTATTTCTAGCTACTTCTTTTGGCTGAGTGGTAATTTTATAAAGAATAAATGTACAATCCTATACAACACAGCCCCAACTCGAAACAAAAAAGAAGCAAGGGTGCCTTTACAAAAATCTGAAAAATCCCAGCCCAAGCAACCAGCTTTTGCACAACACCCTTGAGCAGAAAATTGTGATGATGTAGCACCTAATTTGTGCTTATGTGGAGTCAATGCTAATACATGTGGTCAGAAGGTATTTAAAGAATAGTTAAGAGGCATTCGTGATCTTTTCTCTTTTTAGACCTAATCACTTTTTGGGTCATCTCCTTCTCAATTTTTCTATCTTGGTTAATAGAGAAAGAAAATCTGTTACAATGAAGATTGAGGTGGAGCCTTGGAGATCGCAAGATGCATCTAATGGTTTGGTGAGATGTGGCATCTTTGGTTGTTACACACCTGTTCTCTTTCTTTTCTTGTGTATATATTCTCTAATCTATTGTGTATTTTGGCTGCATGAGAGGTGAGGCAAAAGTGAGTTTTTGGGTGATTAGCAAATGGGTTTTATCTTGGGGTTTCTTCTTGTATAGTGGGAAGCAAAAACTCTATAAGATTATCCTTTATAGTGCACTTTCCTTATTGTCCTAAAGAGTGGATGTAGATAATCAAATTGATTACCGAACCACTATAAATCTTGTTTGTTCTTTATTTTCTTTATGCTTATTTTCATTTCCATTGTTAATCGTTGTGGCCGTTGTTCGATTAGAAACTTAGGGTTTCCTATTTTACTTTTTCAAATAGTCTTTTGTTTCAACAAGTGGTATCAGCCAGATTAGGTCTGGGTGTTTAAGATTGTTCAAATTTGTGACCGTGTAGGGTTAGATCTGAAACTTCTAGGGACGGGCTTTCTTGACTAGGACTTGATTTTTGGGGCCTTTCATCTCCTAGTATCTGTGAGGGTTTAAAACCTAGATATGTCTAAGTTTGAGGTAGAGAAATTCACTAGAGACAATGATTATGGTTTATGGAAGATGAAAATGAGAGATGTTTTAGTTAAAGATGGTTTGTCAGCTACCTTAGAGGGTGAGGATAGGTTACTAGAGTCCTTAACTGAGAAAGAAAAGAAAAAACTCTTAGACAAAGCCAATAGCACCTTGATACTTGAGTTAGGAGACAAAATTTTGAGAGAGGTAAAGAAAATGAGTACACCAATAGGGTTTGGGAAAAGTTAGATTCTTTATACCTGTCCAAATCATCTCCTAACAGGTTGGTTTTAAAATGGATAAGTCATTAGGAGAGAATATCAATGATTTCATGAAATTGGTTCAGGATATAAATGGTCTAAGTGTCAAGGTTGAGGATGAGGATCAAGCTGTCATTCTTATTAACTCTTTGCCAAAAATGTATGCAAATTTTTTCGATACTTTGAAGTATGGTAGGTAGACTCTTAAGCTAGATGAGGTTGTGGTAGCAATTACTGCAAAAGATGTTGAGTTTAGGAAATAGGGTAAACTAGATGGTGAGGGGCTACATGTGAGAGGTAGATCTGAAAAGAAAAGTCATAAGAAAAGGCATTTTAGGGGCAAATCAAAGTCAAAGTCGAAATTTGTAAGAAAATGCTTTTACTATCATAAGGAAGGTCATTTCAAAAGGGACTGTCTTGATAGGAAGAAAAAATCAGGGGAAAGAAATACTAGTGGGAGTGTAGATGGTGCTTCTGATGGGTACGAGAGTTATGATGTGTTGGTGGCTTCTGAAAGGGAAATAAATTCTGAGTGGATTCTAGATTCAGGGTGCACATTTCACATGCCTCTAAATAGAAGTTTCTTGATGAACTTTAAGAAGTTAGAGTCTGGAAAAGTCTTGATGGGTAATAATGTTGTATGTAGAGTCTTAGGAATTGGGGATGTTAGACTAAGCTTGCATGATGGCAGTTCAAAATTACTCATAGAGGTTAGGTACATACCAGAGTTAAAAAAGAATTTAATTTTCTTAGGAAGCTTAGATTCAAATGGGTATAGCTATAAGACTCAAGGTGGAGTTCTTAAGATCACTAAAGGGTCCTTAGTTATTATGAAGGGAGAGAAGAAGAATGGACTGTATGTCCTAAATGGATAAACCATCACTGAAACAGTAGTTGTATCACTATCCCAAAAGTCTAACAAGACCTCTTTATGTCATAGAAGGTTGGGACATGTTATAAGAAGGGTTTAGTTGAGTTGAGCAAGCAAAAGGTCTTAGAAGGGGACAAAATAGAGAAACTAACCTTTTGTGATAATTGTATTTATGGAAAGATGAGCAAGATTAGGTTTAGTGTAGGAAAACATTGTTCTAAGTCCATCATAGACTACATTCCTTATGATGTGTGGGGGCCAACTAAATATCCATCATTGGGGGGTTGTAAATTCTTTATTAGCATCATAGATGATCACTCTAGGAGAGTGTGGATATACTTCTTGGAGAGCAAAGGAGAAGCCTTTAGCAAATTCAAAGAGTGGAAAGTTATGATTGAGAATCAGAAAGGGAAGAAAATTAGAAAATTAAGAATTGATAATGGGTTATAATTCATTAATGAGGAGTTTGATAAACTGTGTAAGGATAATGGAATCCTAAGGCATAGGATAGTTAGGTATACACTTCAAGAAAATGGGCTAGCTGAGAGGATGAATAGGACTATCCTGGAAAATGTTAGAAGTCTATTGTCTTATGCCAAATTCCCTACCAAATTCTGGGCAGAAGCTGCTCATACAACAGTGTTCTTGATTAATAGGATTCCTTCCTCAACCATTAAGTTCAAAACACCTACTGAAAAATGGACTGGACATCTAGTTGACTATAGCAATCTAAGAGTTTTTGGCTGTACTGTTTTTGCGCTTGACAAGTCAAATAAGTTATACCAAAGGGCTATTAGGTGTATTTTCATAGGCTATCCTGATGGGGTAAAAGGGTATAAGTGTTGGGATATTGCTAAGAAAAGATGTATAATCAGTAGAGATGTTAGGTTTAATGAAGAAGAATTAGGTGGGTTGGGTAAGAATGATGGTGAAGTTAGTGAAAGAACTGAAGTCATTAGGTTTGAATTGGATGATGAAACTTCTACTAATAATCTTGGTGGTTTGCAACTGGATTATCAGCAAGAAGACTTTCAATCCCAAGATGAGAAACCTACCTTAGTGGAGAATGAGGATAATCTAGCTCATGATGAAGAAAATGAGCTCTAGAACTACCAGTTGGTTATAGATAGGCAAATGAGAGAAATTAAGCTGCCTAGTAGATATTCACAGGCTGACATGGTTGCTTTTGCATTCCAAGTTGCTGAAGAGATAAAGAAGAACCTATGACAGTTAAAGAAGCCATGAAGAGTAGAGAGTCTAAGTAGTGGAAGTTAGCTATACAAGAGGAGTATAAGTCCTTGATGAAGAACAAGACTTGGATTCTTATCAAGAAACCTGAAGGCAGTAGGGTTGTCAAATGTAAATGGGTATTCAAAAGAAAGGAGGGAATTCCAAGGGTAGAGGCACCTAGATTTAAAGCTAGGTTAGTGATGCGACTAAATCAACCTTAGCAAGTGCACTAGTTGTGTTCAAGTAATAAAGTGATGAGTTTGAGTATCGTCCC